CAACATGCCCTTATGTATGTCCTGAAACAATCTACACTTTGAACAATTCACATACCCCAAGAAAATTTGTGTGCCTTCCCCAGTAAAACATATACAGTACATATCCCTTCTAAGCATGAGTGTTACCTTGACCACCTGCCCTTTTTCCTGCAAGCTGAGTTTAGGACTTTGTGTCTCTGGAGCTGGAAGAAAATGAATGAAATGAGATTATGATTAAACAACACAAAAAATCAATAAGAGCTATGGATGATTTTGCACACTGAAAAGTATTCTACAGATGTATATGATAAATGATAATATTTGAGGGTAACTCTCTCCTGCCCTTGGTATGAGCAAAATGCATTCTGAATAACAATGCACAGACCATACTTTCTTCTCAGAGACTAAAGGCCTCTACAGAAAGACCCTTTACGCTGTCCTAGAGGCAGGGATGGGGAGGGGCAGCCGCACACCGGCCGCCTCAACCCCTCCCCGAAGACGTCTTGCTGCCACGCGCCATTATGCATGGTGCACGGCATCAGGATGTCCTTCCGGCGCAGCCTTTTGATGCGCTGTGCCGGAAGGGGCGCTAAAGAGCCACATGCCGACTCTTAGGGTGCCCTTTTTGCCAGCACCTTTCCGAGGTGGCAAAAAGGAGGATTGGGGCCGAGGCGTCCAGCAGCCTCGGCCTCGATCTTCTGGTTCTTAGGGCGGCCCAGGGCTGCCCATCTGCATCCCCCCTAAGTCTTACAGTAGAAGAGGTACAATAAATGATTATTCTGGTTCCTTTGAGCAACTGGGTTTCTGTGGCAAGGTTGCCTCATTTGCCTAAGAATCACTTACTATTCCAGTGTGTAATGTTATCACCCAAAAGTGGTTGATGGGTCACAGAAGGAGCCCGCAGGGATTTTTGTGTACAACTACCCCAGCCGCAGCGGGGGGCCTGAGGTGGTGGAGACAACAGGAAACAATAACTGTGGAGAAAGAAAAAATAAGGGAGATGGTCAAGGAACCCAGATACACTGTGGGATAATGTAAAATTCTTTAATATCTCTCAATTGGGAGATGGCTTATGCTTATCAGGGACAGATTTATTGTTGTTGTGTGCCTTCAAGTCATTTTTGACTTATGGTGACACTAAGCTGGTTTTCACAGGGTTTTCTTGGCAATATTTGTTTGGGCAGGGGGAGTGCCTTTGCCTTCCTCTGAAGCTGAGAGAATGTGACTTGCCCAAGGCCACCCAATGGGTTTCCACGGCTGAACAGGGATTTGGACCCTGGTCTCCAGAGTTGTATTCCAACACTTAAACCTCTACACTACCCTGGCTCTCCATGGACAAAGCACTCAGGATTATTTCTGGTGGATCCGCTGCTATGGGGTGGTGAATCCATTCTGGGATTTATGACTGCTCCTCCTGCAGTTACTATGAGTTCAACAGGAACTCTGTCAGTGGTGGGCCTTATGCCTTCAAAGGACTGGCTTCAGCAGGGCTCTCATATAGCTGTGGAATAAGAGGCAATCACATCAAGAATAGATTCACTGTCCTCAGAGTGATGAATCCACTGGCTATCCTGTCCTCCTCCTCCTCAGCAGGGCTCACTATAAATTAAGCAAATGCAGAGAATGCAGGAAAAGAAGCAGTTTCCTGCTTGAATGTCCACAATTGTAAATGAGATAAAAGAGAGGGCTGAGACATAAGAAAGAAGGGGCTAAGAGAATGGAGAAGAATAGAAGATTACTCAAAAGTAAAAAATTCTTTACTGGTAAAGCAGGAGTGGGAAATATTTGGCCGTCAGACATTGATGAACTATTGCTGTCGTCACATTTTACTTTTCACCATTAAAACTTTCCACATCTTCTGCCGCCAAACCTTACCTGGCTTGCATGATGACAGGAACAATTGTCATGACGAGGAGGGTGTGTTGAGGGCTCAGACCTGCTTCTGTCAGCCCAAGGTAAGAAAGGGCACCTATCAAACCAGCCCCGCCAGTTCCGGAAGACCAAGCGGACACTACGGCACTATAGTGGGGAAGAAAGGAAATGAATGTGAATTATGGTGCCTTTCTCCTAATCAACAGAAACTTCAGTGTGAGCATCCCCAATCTTGCCATAACTACAGTCCATAAAGTTACACTACCGGTACTTCAAATTTTGCAGTACTGAGGCATCTTATAAGCAAGTCAAATAATGCATCAGTTCTCAGTCTTGCCCCTCTCCTCAGAGCTTAGGCTAGGTAGCCCCCTTTTAACTGTTATTTGAAATGTTATATATTTATATCTCCATCTTCACTATGCGAAATGAACAGACAAAATGAGCTGGGTTCATATTTAGTTAAATCTAGAGTAGACTCATTGAAATTAATGGAACTAATTTAAGTCATTCCAATGGTTTAGTCAAACCTAACACTTTTGTTTGGTTCCAATGGTTTAGATCCAACCTAATGCTTTTTTAAAAAGTAGTTTTTTAAAAATGTTGGTCAACTGACTTGAAGATTGGGTAGGGTGTTCTGTTGGTGAAAGATAGGTACATGTCAATAGGAAGTGTCTGTAACTACCTTATTCTAGAGTCAAACTGAATAAGCTGGAAACTTGTTGCAGAAATTATTTTTCAGAGCGAAATGCACAGTGAGGCTGCACTCAAAATTAGGCACCCAAACTATGACAATTGATACAAGAAAGGACATCTCTTTGTTTGCCATTAAGCATCAGGGTGTGCAATGATTAGTCTGTGAAGTTTATCACATGGGAGGAAAGCGCCCAAACCCCATGCATAAACAGGGTTTCAACCCAGGAAAATCCCGCAAGAGCAAGATTGTTTTTAGATGATGTCGCTCGAATTGAGCATTAACTCAACATTAGTCTGTGCAAAAAGAGGCAAAATCACACCACTTTTAACTTTGGGAAATCCACTTTTTGTACGGGTTAATGTTGTGTTAATGCTTAATTTGCATTACATGTCTGAAAACAATCCTTCTCTTGCAGAATTTTCCTGGGAATTAAACGCCATTTATCCACAGGATTTGGGCACTTTGCCTCCCGTGTGATAAACTCCTATGTAAACAATCTGACCAGTTAAGGAAATAGCCATTCCATTCCAGCCCCATCACAAAATCTCATCCTAGATATTCATCCCTGCAACCACTCCACCCTTTTGTTACCTGTCAAAAAAAGATGTGAGTGCCAGGAATGTTATTTCACCCAGACCAGATGAAATACTGGCCAGCACAACACCTATAATGAGAAAGAAAAAAACACCATCATTTAAATGCAATCTGTGTACAGGCTACTGAATTTTACCTAAACCAGGAATGCCATGCTTTATGAATTGTAGCAAAGAAAGAATTTTAGTCGTTACAGTTTCCTTCATCTCAAGAGTGTCAAGGGTGAGAGAAACCACTCATCATAGTGCAACAGAAAACTTGCACAGGTATCTTCTAAGGTAGAAGTTGCTGGACTGCAAATCCCAGCAGCCCAAGACAGTATATCCAAGAGTGAGAAATGTTGGGAGATACAATCCAAAACAGATTCCCACTGCTGGTCTAAGAATAGGGGTGGACAGCTTGTGACTCTCCAGATGTTGGTGAACTGTAGCTACCATCCTCTAGCACCACTAGCCATGCTGCACAGAGCTGATAGGAGCTGCTGTCCAGCAACATCTGAAGTGCCAAAAGCTGTCCAAACCTACTCAAAGCACTTACCTACAACAAAATGTTGCACAGTGTATCCTTGCCTTATAAGATAAGCCAACTTATGTCCTCCTCCCAAATACTTCATACCATTCCTGCCTATCTGATTTGAAGCTGTTGATCCTGTTCAGGTTTGCTGATTCTGCTTATGCAATTTTTTTTAAAAAACCGTACTCATGTAAATCTCAAGATTTCCACAAGCATGATGCTACCTCCCTTTTGTTTCTCAGTGCCTTATTTTGCCACCACTTCAATCCACATTCACCACCTGAGATTGCTATTAGAGGGGGTGATTCGAAGACAAGAGACTGTGTTGGATCCAGACTACCTTCACTTCATTCCCATGGGATGCAAGTCAAATAATGACTTGCACTTCTGGTGGCCTTCTTTCCAACTGATTTCTCTGAAACCAAGTTAAATCGACTTGGATCGAACCCCAGATGTGTTTGCATCATGAGAAAGTATGTGTGGGGTTTTTAATGAAATCCAAACATCCCAATATTTGACTCCTCTGCTTCCATTCTATCAAATCATGCCAGCCCCTTGGCTTCCTAAGAATTAAGGGACTACCAAAAGATAAGAGGTCGAACCTTGCTGTAACTAGAGCATTATCTATTCCCCTCAATCCCCCATGAAGATGGATTTTACCTGCCATGCTTTGCACTGTGGTTGTTGAGAAGGCCACCAGTATGAAACTGCTCCAGGCTGTGACAACACAGATTGCAACACGCAATCTGTAAATTGAGGGAAAAGGAAAAAAGGAAATGAGAAACTGGACAAGGTCCGAACTAACCATAAATGTTCTTGCCTATTGACTACATACAAAAGATAATTCCTTCAGGACAGTTAGTTCTCTTCCATCTCCTTCACAGCAACTACTTGCCCTTTATAACTAGCCCTCCAGTCACAAATAAGGAAAAAGTAGAGGAACTCCATTACAGAGATACAGACCTTCCTCATTCCTTTACACAAGAGCAGATGGCAAAAATTGCCAATAATAAGTAAAGGAGAAATCTATAATTGTCAGAGAGCTGCAATGGGGTGGCACCACCCCAGTGGGGAAAAAAAAGGTGGCAGCTTTTTCTTTTCCTCACAGTCTTCTTTCCTTGAAAAAATGTAATTTTATTTTTAAAAGAATGTTCCGTTAGGTTCCAGCACAATCTAAACTCTATCCAAGCATTTTGTTGCAGTTTTGTTATAATTTTTAAACTGTAAATATGCAATGAGATTTTTTGGCAAGTTTCTTCAGAGGGGAGTTGGCACTGCCATCCCCTGAGGTTGAGAGAGTGTTGCTTGCGCAGTGGGTTTCTTCCCCCCCCTTTTTTTTTTTTTTTTTTGCTTGAGAGGGAATTGAACCCTAATCTCCAGAGTCATAGTCCAACGATGAAACCACTACACTATACTGGCTCTAGGTCTAGGAGAAGTGGTTTGGACAATTGTCTGTCCGATGACACAGGCAGCTGGACCTACCACCTCCTCCAGAGCCACATGGCTCCAAAGACATCCCCTTCCACCAGAAGCCATGGATTAGAAGGAAAGGTGGCCTGGAGTTTTTGTTTCATCAGATACTGCAACCTCCTCCACACTGAATTGAACTGGAGAAAGTGGAACCAATTGTATAATGGACCATTATGTGTGTGATCTGAACCAACAGAATTCTAGCCTAAGGTGGTTGCCTCACTCTGCCTAATGGAGTATGATATTTGCTGTGGATTGGAACTGAAAACTGGAAGCATTTAACAATGAAAAGATCACATTGCAAAATTAGCAGTGACCTATTTTTCTCCCCTTCCTTTTTCAAAATTAGCATTATAGCTTTGTAGTGCTATAGCTTTGCTGTTGGCCATTTTATTCAAATACAAATTCAATACACATCAAAGACATTAAACACATACTGATTCATCATGCTATAAATACATTTAAAAGAAAACAACAATAAACAATGTTTAAATAAATGTTTAAATAATTTCTGTCTCTATTTGAGAAACAGATATGTGGAATGCAGCTTATATTTTAAAAAAACAATTAATGGAACACAAACTAATTTCTATTATAGCCTGACAGAACCAAAAATCATAAAAATCCTAAGCAAAAGAACAGTGTATTGCTATTAACATATACAATGTGGGTTAATTTCTCCACCCACTACCAGTCCTCTTCCCTTTTGAAAAAAGGTAACTGTAATGTGGTATAATGGTTTGAGCATTGGAGACCAGGACTGGAATTCTGACTCAGACATGTAAACCTGCTGGATTCCCTTGGGCAAGTCACACTCTCTCAGCCTCAGAGGATGGCAATGGCAAAGCCCCTCTGAAGAAACTTGTCAAGAAAACCCAATGACAGGTTCACCTTAGGTTCACCATACGAGGGGGTATTGTAAAGTTTTGACAGAAAGTTTGTTTTGATTTGTAGTTGTTACAAGATCTCTACCTAGTCATCATCCAGATTTACATATTTTTCCCAGCATTTCTTGACTCTCCCCAAATAACATTATTATAGAAGTCTGCAAATTGTGCCTTACAAGAATTTTATAGTTTAGTCACTTCTGATATAACCTGTCACAAAAATAAAGGACACGATGAGCTGCTTTTCTCAACATCATGCACTTAGGGACCAATGATGACACTGACAAAATTTCATCAATATACCATAATAACGTCCGGATGATAATTATTACTTTACAATACCCCTTGTAAGGCACAACTACAAATCAAAACAAACTTTCTGCCAAATGTTTTTAAAGGTGATAATTAAAACTTTACGATAGTCAGAAATGACTTGCAGCCATACAACAAACAACAAGCCAGAAGACATGAACTTTCTTGCTTTTACTGATCTGTAAACTGATATATATGTCTTCAGGCTTGTTGTATGCCTGCAAGTCATTTCCGACTTATGGCAGACCCAAAGTGTCTTTTGGGAAGGGAGGACTTTCCTCATTATTTATTGATCATATATACATAATATCAGTAAATAATGAGGAAAGTCCCTCCCCCAAAAAAATACATTTACAGACTGACCACATGTTTGTAGGGTAGTTTTCAGTTCTCTTCTCTATGGATTGTATGTTTTGTTCTACTTTTGGCCAAGTTACAAGTCCACCGTATATGTAAATTAATTCCTGTTTGTCTCTTTCTTACACTTCCAAGTAGTTTAGTCTTTACCAACATTATTTCCTGTGAACTTTGCCAACTCACCCATATGGGAACAGGTGGATACAAAAAGGGGCGCTGAATTTGATGAGAAGAGTGGGCAGAATGTCAGCTAACAGCACAGCCTGTGAAAGGCACCAAAGAGATGGGAGTGAACAGTAGTTGGTACCAAACTTTCAACCCCAATTCCCAGGAACCTTCTCTCCCATGTACGTACCCCTGTTGAGATGGGATTGCAATCATACCGAGAAGAATTAGCCTTGGGGGGAATCTGTGGGAGGAATTGGACACAAGAAAACAAAGGTTAAATGGACACAAGAAACCAAAGGATATGAAAATGTCACCCACTTTCTTGCCACCTGCTTCTTTTCTGTTGATTTCCTTCACTCAGGACATACCCTTCAACGTTTCACACATGAAAACTGAAGCACAAGTGGCAAAGCAATATCAGAGTGTGGTCAAGTTGGCAAAAGTTATTAATGAGGAATACACAAGCGGGGAAAGACTGCAACAGTTTGGTTTTGCCTGAGCCTACTGGGAAGGGCAAGATGCCACCTGCTCCTCTCATTCCTCCTCTTCTGAGTTAATTACTTTGAGTTCAGTTTGCAGCAGCTGAAGTAAACTGATGACAAAGGGAGAAACTGGGAGGAGGAGAGAGAAACTGGGACATTTTAAGAGCAGATGACAAAGTGGGGTGACAGAGGATTAATCAGGATTGTCCCTGTGAAATCAGGACAGTTGGAGAATATATCAAGAATAATTCTGAGTGATACCCAAAAGGACTTCAGTATGGGGCTACCAAATAACCACAACCTTTGGCTAGCTAGGGCTGGTGCCAAGCTTGCTGCATCCAAATTGTTCCTTGGCAGAAACACATGTGTTCCATTCATGCTCATATTCCAACTGTGTGCTTTTGGATTTGCTTTGTGAATTCACACTGTGCTCTCATTCCCTACTCCCCGCTCCTTTTCCAGGCACCTACTTTCACCTACTTTCTAGATCTTCCATGTATTCTTTCCTTTCATTCTTACTTTCTATTGCAGGATTAGCTTATTCAAATTCATCCATACCAGCTGGGGGATTTTGCAGGTAGTAGTCCAAAAAGGCAACTTTTCCAAACTCTAGAGCAAGCACTTTATCTTTTCCTGTTCTAGTTTCTTGACCTATTTCATCCACAGACACAAACGTACATACGTGTGTTCTTCTGCTCTGCACACTCACCGGTCCAGTCCCATTGCCTGCTGGCACCTTCTGATGGCTGAGAATATCATGGGCAGCACTCAGCATGACCACATAAGCAAAGTTGTTGCAGAGTCCCAGCAACCTGTGAGGTGGACACAGGCTAGTTACTGTAATGGTACTCAAGCCCAAAGTCTTTTTGTGGATTCACATCCCTTCTTTTTTCTGCAAGAGTCCAAATAGACACATCTGTGGTCTCCAATTCCTATGCATTCTCCCATCTAAGCACTGATTAAACCCATACGATACTCAGTTCATCAAGAACAGGAGTGGGAATCATGAAGCCTGGAAGCGTAATAATGGGGTATTGTGGAATGTTTTAATCATTTAATTATTATGATTTATTCTGTTTTAATTGTTAATGGATTTTAATCATGTTATTTGTTTAATAATGTTTTAGGGGGGGGTTGTTCTTTATTGTAATTGTGTTTTATGTTGTAAACCGCCCTGATTGGGCAACCATTGGGGGGGTATATAAATAAATTTTATTATTATTATTATTATTATTATTATTATTATTATTATTATTATTAAGTACTCCAGATACTGTGAGAATGCAATTCCCATCAGTGCTAGCCAAATGACAGGAGTTGCAGTCTAACAACACACTTCCCACCTCCGATCAAGAAACTTTTCACTGGGGCTAAGAAACATCTGGCCCTCCAGATACTGTTGAACTTCTGTTCCCATCAGCCCCAGCTAATCTGGCTAATGGTGATATGGCATGGGAATAGTAAGTAGCTCATCAATATCTGGAGAACTGAAGGACCTCCACCTCTGCTTTACACATTTATAGAAAATATGTAGCCCTCCAGAGGTTATTAAGCTCCAACTCCTATCAGCCTGACATGACCAATGGTAAGGGATGGTGGGAGATACAGTCTAACAACATATAGAGCTTCCTCTACCTTTCTGCTTTAGACCTCCACCAAATGCCAAGAAGGTTATTCCCATAACCAAAGTGCACCACAATTAGGCAGAGTGTGCAAGGTGTTAACAGCAATAGACAAGAAGTCCAGAGAAGGTGGTCTCTGGTGAATAAGTTGCATGAGAGTCAGTGTGGTGTAGTGGTTTCAGCGTTGGACTATGACTCTGGAGATCAGCAAAACAAAGCAAAGCAGCTTCATTTATATACCGCTTCATACCGCGCTATGGGGTGTCTAAGTGGGAATATTTTTTTAATAGTTTAATTTAGTTTTAAGGGGTGGGAGGGTTGGATTTGGGATAAGGAATGTTTTAAATTGTATGTTTTTATTATTGCTGTTCCCCGCCTCGATTGCGATGCAGAGAGGCGAGTTATAAATAAAATTTATTATTATTATTATTATTACTTATTATAAGTGGTTTACAACTGTAAGCTCATTGCCTCCCAACAGTTGGGTACTCATTTTAGCAACCTCAGAAGGATGCAGGCCTGAGTATTGAACTCGCAACCTTGTGGTCTATGAGTGCGTGGCTGCAGTACAGGCATTTAACCACTGCACCACCAGGGTTTTAAGCAAAAAGAAAAAGGAAAAAACCCACTGGGCAAGCCACACTCTCTCAGCCTCAGGGGATGGCAGTGCCAACTCTTCTCTGAAGAAACTTGCCAAAAAATCCCTAAGATAAGGATGCATCTGAGGAAGTAGATTTAAGTTAAAAATGAAGTGGAGGCACACAACAACAACAAAGCATAAAGCAGAGCAGGAAAAGGAAAACGAGACAAGATCAAATTGTCACTCTCGCAGGAAGAATCCAATCCCAGGCACATATCAGATAATTCAATTTTGTGTAGTGAGAGAAAGAGGAGGAGGAAGAGAAGGAGGAGAAGCAGCAGCAGCAGCAGCAGCAGCAGCAGCTTTGAACAGATGTAGAAATCAAATGAAAAGGATCTCACCAGAAGCCCAGGTTATTCCTCCTCTGACTACAGACATCCTGGGTGGCTTCAGGCTCCACTGCAGGGGGCACATCCTCATCTTCCTCTGATGTTTTTGGAAGAGCAGAGAGAGAGAGATAAAGTTAGATCAGAGACAAGAG